CGCCCGCCTGTCGCGCACCCAGCGGGGAGGCCGAGAAGCTGCCGCGGCGGGGACTGGGTTTGCTGGAAACGCACCAGGAGGCTTTTCTCAAAAACAGCAAAATAGGCAACATCGCTGTTGTCACTGGAGTTCGCAAAACTGAAATCCTGTCAAGATGGCTTTTTTATTGAATGTATTGGGGCGCCATTGGTTAAAATTACATAGATTTCAGGTGTGCCATTCTATAATATACATCAGCTGTAGACAGTGCTGCGTGTTCGCACCCCCAGGCTCCTTCCATCACCTTTTACCCCATCCTCTCTTCTACCCCATTCCCTCTTCTGCCTCCCGCAGCCTCCGTAAGACCGTCAGCTTTTGATTCTGTGCTGGACTTTATAGTTTGCACACGTATTTGATCGCTTCAGTTTCTTCGGACAGCTCCACGATCTGGGGGTCACCTATGGTTGCAGCGGGACGGGTGGGGCCATGCCTGTCTTGTTCCCCGGTTTTGCAGATGGGGGACCTGGGAGTTGGGGAGCGGAGGCTCAACAGGGTATCTCTGGCACAGAGGCAGGCAGGGCTCTTTTTAATTCCATTCTGTCTCCCAGAGTCACAGACTGTCAACAGTGAAGACGGGGGCCCCCAGAGACGGTCAGTCCGGCCCCTTCACTTCGCAGGGAAGACGGGAGCTGGTGTGCTCGCTTCGCAGCACATGTACTAAAATTGGAACGATCCAGAGAAGATGAGCATGGCCCCTGCACAAGGATGACATGCAAATTCGGGAAGCGTTCCATATTAAAAAAAAAAAAAAAAAAAAAAGATGGGAGCGGGAAGCTTCAGAAAAACACATTTGCTGGCCTTCAGTAAGTAATCGCTTTGTTTCTTCCTTAAAAGCTGGGAGGAGGTCCTTATATGTGTTATAGATCAAGAGACAGTGGGCCAGTAATTATGATTCTGAAACTGCTCATAATTGGATCTATGACGGGGCGCTCTAATTCAGACGAATGAGACCAAGTTGCTGGCTCCCAATAGCCCACAAGCCAGTGAAGGCTCAAGAGGTGCTAATTAGATCAGTGTTTCAAAAAGTTATTCATTTGATAAGCTGCTGAACGGCGCCGTGTGCAGAGCCCCGAGCTGGGCGCTCTGGCTGATGGAAGGTTCCAGTACGGTGTGAATTAGCGGTGAAGAGCCAGAGCCCTCTGGAGCCGGATTGTGCAGGTTAGAACCCCACCTTTGCCATTTACTCACTGTGTTAACCTGGGGGATTATCCGCTGGCCTCTCTACTCGTGGAGTTTACCTCTAATTATTGAAAAGATGCGCCGAAACCGGTTTGGCTCAGTGGATAGAGCGTCGGCCTGCGGACTGAAGGGTCCCGAGTTCGATCCCGGTCAAGGGCATGTACCTGGGTTGCGGGCACATCCCCGGTGGGAGATGTGCAGGAGGCAGCTGATCGATGTTTCTCTCTCATGGATGTTTCTAACTCTCTATCTCTCTCTCCCTTTCTCTCTGTAAAAAATCAATAAGATATATTAAAAAAAGAGAAAAGATGCACATACATAAATCAATTTAATACAAGATACATGGATGTGATATAGGTGTGTGAGCTGGGGCTGGGCGAGGTCACGCTAGAGAAGGGAGGAGGGAGAAGGGAGGAGGTGGCACTGGGGTCATTGGAAAAGAAGTAGGGTTTCGGAAGGTCGGGGTAGAGGAAAGGCATCAAGAAGAAGGAGCCGCATGAGTCCCGGCCTAGAGGCGGGAGCACGATTGTCCTGTGTGGTGCAGCGTGAGGATTAAGGGGAGTTCAGGCGGGGCAGGTGGGTGGAGGCCAGATTGAGGAAGGCCTTGGATTCGGGCCAGTTTAGATGTTATTCAGGAAGCAGGAAAGGCCTTCGGGGGACTTTTGCTCGACCATTTTGCAACGTCAGGAGAATGCAGCGACTCAGAGAAACGCGGTGGATTTCAGCATGGAGCCACGTTTCCTGAGTGGGAGTGAGTGTCCTGCCTCAGGCAAGGCTGGTCTATCCGGAGGGGTGCCTGCCACCTCATGCTGTGTCTTACTCTCCCCGAAAGGCGTGTGACCGAGACTCCCCTCTCGTGGCCGAGGCTGGTACTTCCTTGGAGACTGGAGTGGGATTTCTCTATTTATAGATTCCTATTCAACTTATAAATATAGACGGAACATCTATTCTGTGCTAGGCGCTGCCATGCACTTTATCTCCTACCGTTCTCACAGCCGCCATGGGAAGTGGATAGCATGAACATTTAACAGAGAAAGCAGAACGTGCTGAGCTATGGAGTTGGAGGAACCTGAAAGAATCGTTTTCTCTGTCACGTGGTTCATCCCCTCACAGCTCCCTGCACTGCTTGAGTTTTTCTAACAGATGCCACTTGGCTTACCTCTGTCCTCTTAGATCGACCTGGACTAAGTATTAGATCAGTTCTTTTTTTAAAAAAATATATTTTATTGATTTTTTACAGAGAGGAAGAGAGAGGGATAGAGAGTTAGAAACATCAACGAGAGAGAAACATGGATCAGCTGCCTCCTGCACACCTCCTACTGGGGATGTGCCCACAACTAAGGTATATGCCCTTGGCCGGAATTGAACCTGGGACCCTTGAGTCCGCAGGCCGATGCTCTATCCACTGAGCCAAACCGGTTAGGGCATAGATCAGTTCTTATCTGTTTGTGATGTCAAGGTCACAGGGGAGGCCAGTGGGTAACTTGCCCAGGGTAACACCCATTCCCATTTCGCCAGCACCAACTGAGAAAGCAGCAACTGTGCAGGAATAGGGGTCAGGACACATTTAACTATTTATTAAGTTTTAATTACCGACCATTTTTTTTCAATCCCCAAACCCCTCTGTGACAGAAGTACCTTGGGGCACTTCTTCCTATTTTAGAGATTAGCTGTGACCAGACATGTCCCCTCTGGCAGAGGCTTTCTTTGGCTGCTGCCTTCTCTGAAATCACTGTGGTTAGCTCTGCCTGCCGCCCTGGGGCCCCTTCCCCCGGGCTGTCCTCACCAGCCTTTTTTCTCTGTGGATGAAAAGGGACCACATACTGAACCTGACAAGCTCAGGGAAGGCCTGCATGTGGGTCTTGCAAACTCGGAGACCTAAAGTAACCACAAAGGATGGTCTGAAATGAAAACTCTTGAACTAAAAGCTGTTTATGGCAGGTAGTCATGTCCTAGGCTAGACTCTACCCCGGCAAAGGTCATCTGCACCTTAACTAAGCCTGTCTATTGTCTTTTGTATCTACAATAACATTCCTCTGGAATGTCTAGACCCCTTTTTCTAGACTCCTCAGGGCAGAACCAGTGCACCAAGGCAGAGAGCTCTCACTGTTATTGTTGCCGTGTTAATTACTGACTGTTAACTATCCTGTACTCACCCATGTAAAAGAAATATGTGTCTATCATTTTACTTTTTAAAAAAATATATTTATTGATTTTCCACAGTGAGGAAGGGAGAGAGACAGAGAGTCAGAAACATTGATGAGAGAGAAACATCGATCAGCCGCCTCCTGCACATCCCCCACCGGGGATGCGCCCGCAACCCAGGTACATGCCCTTGACCAGAATCAAACCCGGGACCCCTCAGTCCGTAGGCCAACGCTCTATCCACTGAGCCAAACCGGTTTTGGCTATCATTTTACTTTTTATACAATCCCAGAGTTTCCCCCTCCTCGATTTCTCCCACCTCCCTAACCTATCACCAATGGATTTCATGTTCCACACACGTCTCTTCTGATTGTAATCTCTCTCTATAAAAGCCTCAGTGACCATTACAACCAAAAGACCAGAACGACCAGTCGACCGGTCACTATGACGTGCACTGACCATCAGGAGGCAGACACTCAACGCAGGAGCTGCCCCCTGGTGGTCAGTGCGCTCCCACAGCGGGAACGCCGCTCAGCCAGAAGCCGGCTTCCGGTTGGCGAGTGCAGCTGTGGGAGCCGTGCCGCCCTGGCTGGGGCTCTTCCGTGGCCGCCTGCCGCTTCAGCACTGCTACATCCCTGGCGGGGGCGGGGAGGGGATGCCCCCCTGAGGGATGTCCCAGATTGTGAGAGGGCGCAGGCCAGCCTGAGGGACCCCACCTGTGCATGAATCTGTGCACCGAGCCTCTAGTGTATAAAATAAGGTGCAAAACTACCATTATCTCAGTCTGATGATATTCTGCTTCCCAGCAACTGTGGACAGTTTGGCTCAAATAAACTCATTAAAATTCTCCGTAGGTTTGAGTGTTTCTTACATCAACACCCCACAGTGTCTCCTTCAGTTACATCCTATTCCTGCGTGACAACTTGTTCCTGTATGTGAACTCTCTAACCTCAGCCATTCCCTTTCTGCCCGCCCCAGTTGGGTTCCTTGTTTGCTGAACAGCGCCACCTGGAGGCTATTCGCCGTGTAAGCTTCAGCATGTCCAATGGACACGCCCTTTTACCCCCAAACCCGTTTCTCTTCCAGACTCTCCTTCCTTCCTTTTTTTTTTTTTAAAAATATATTTTATTGATTTTTCACAGAGAGGATGGGAGAGGGATAGAGAGTTAGAAACATCCATGAGAGAGAAACATCGATCAGCTGCCTCCTGCACACCTCCTACTGGGGATGTGCCCACAACCAAGGTACATGCCCTTAGCCAGAATCGAACCTGGGACCCTTCAGTCCGCAGGCCGACGCTCTATCCACTGAGCCATACCGGCCAGGGCCAGACTCTCCTTCCTTTAGTGCAGTTACCACTCTCTTAGAGTTAAACCATTATTTTTACTATTTTTTCATCTCTCTATATCTAACCATCTCCCCACCATTTTATTACCATAGTATTTCCCAAAGCCATCCTCTCTACTGTTGATCAAGCCCTAAATTTCAAATTTTAATTTTATTTTAAAAAGTATTTTCAGAATTTACCCAGAAGTTGCAAAAACAGTTCAAAGAATTTCAATATACCCTTCATCAGCACTCTAAATGTTAACATTTAAAATAAACATAGTACAATTATTAAAATAAAAATGTTAACATGCATAGAGTTAATCTATAGATCTTTTTCAAATTTTGCAAATTGTTCCTCTAATCTGCTCATCTGTGTCTGCCCCCTCGCCCCCCGGCCAGCTGTATAACTAAAATCCCAGATGTGACTCCCATTGGTCATTGGTTCTGTTTGGATCCTATACAAATCCCTGAACCAATCAGTGTGGAATTGGGGGGTCACTTATCTCTACTTGTGTGACATGCACTGGGCTGGAGGAAAGATGCCTTTCCCAATGAAAACTGGGGTGCTCTCCACAGAAAATGTTGAGCAGACAAAACAGCAGTTCCATTTCAAAGGTTCTGTTTAGAAATTCTAATTTCCCATTAACTACCAAGTGGAGTCCAAATTCCTTTACCAACATCCAAGGCCCTACCTACTTGGATCCAAATCTATATTTTCTGGCTCATTTTATTTATTTATTTATTTAAAAAAATTTTTTCAGTTATGGCTTATTTATTTATTTTTGTTAAAATGTGTTATTGATTTTCAGATAGGGAGGATGGAAGAGAAAGAGAGAGAGAGAGTGTGCTGCCTCCTGCATGCCTCCTACTAGGGATCGAGCCACAACCTGGGCATGTACCCTGCCCAGAACCTGACCGTGACCTCCTAGTTCATAGATCAATGCTCAAATGCGGAGCCACACCAGCCGGGCCAGCCTTTTTTAAATAGCATTCCTCAACTTGCTGCAAGACTTTGGTTAATTTACAGAGTTTTTACAAAGTTGATTCTTTTTTTTTTAATTGCTTTTATTTAGGAGTGAGTTTTCATAGGTCCTCCCTTTCCTATTTATGCTGATATCATCCAAAGCAACATTTAATTAATATTAATGTTCAAACATCAGTTCACCCACCAAATTCCAGTGCTGTGCTCAGGTCTCTCTATATGATCTGCTAAGATGTCCTGAAAGATTGTGCTTCTTGCTTGAAACCAAGCAGAAAGCAAGTAAAGTTCTAAAAGGTCCCCCGTCTTACAGTGTTGTAACTTTACTGTAACACTGTGAAAAGGGGAAATGAGGTTTATTTAGCTTGAGCAGGTCTTACTCTTCCTGCTACTCGGTGCTCACAAGTTATCTGAAGAACCTGGAATCTAAAATCTTCTCAGAGTGACTAATACCGAAGCCATTGGTGAATAGCATTATAACTCCCATTTTAAATGTTCTTGCGAGTCAGAATGCTCTCCCCAGTGCTCTTCCTGCTTTCTAAAATTTCTCCGAGTTTGTCTACAATAGTTCCCAAACCATTTCTCCAGTTCCCTTCAGCATCTTGGCAGATGGACGGCACCCAAAATTTGGGGTCTTGAACCAATTTCAGTTGAGTTAGTGTTCTCTTATCTTCCTTCACTTCCCTGGGGCCTCAGTTTCCACCTAACTACACCCTTAGGCCATTTTAATCTCCAGCATCATTCTCTCTGTAGCAGGCAAACCAAATGAGAGTGGAGAGGTTCTCCTTTCTCTGGGTCATCTGCTAATATTACACCATCTGTGCTCTGCAACGGGCCCGTTTCTTCCTTCTTTTCTCCCAGTATAGCCATACAAGCCCTTGCTGATGTCGATAGCATGTTTCGCAAGCTCAGTTCCACCCGAGTCACAGCCATCCTGACACTGTTCTTACGGGTTCCCACAAGCCTTTTGTGTTTGTCCCTGAGCAGGTAGCTCTTCTTCCGTTCTCTGTCAGGGAATTTGCCGTGCGGCCACTTCAGTGCCTTGAAATGCTCCTCCCATTGCTTGTCAGGATCTAAAAGGGATGAAGGAGTGACTGGTTTTTGTTTGGATATTCTTTTTTTATTTTTTAAAAATATATTTTATTGATTTTTTACAGAGAGGCAGGGAGAGGGATAGAGAGTTAGAAACATCGATGAGAGAGAAACATCGACCAGCTGCCTCCTGCACCCCCCCGCCCCCCACCGGGGATGTGCCTGCAACCCAGGTACATGCCCCTGACCGGAATCGAACCCGGGACCCTTCAGTCCGCAGGCCGACGCTCTATCCACTGAGCCAAACCGGTCAGGGCTGGATATTCTTGAAACAATAATTAAAACTACACATATTAGTTTAGTATTGAAACATACAGAGCCATATATTAAATACATGCAAGGAGGTAATTGTTCAGTCATTTAGCCTCCAATAATTAATTCATGCATTAATTTAGCACCCAATGATTCATTTAGCGTTGTCATGGTCATAGGAATTTGGAAAAGGCAGATCAGGAAAAGCTATGCTGTGTTCCAGCTGAGGGTGGAACTGTGGGGGCCGGGGATGCACTTCCCGATGGTGTCTTCATTTATGTGACTGTCACCCGGGCTGGGCAGGCTGCAGAACAGGCTCACCCATACTGTGTCCTCAGGAGTCCTCCCCAGCACAGTGGTGGCAGGGTGTTTGCACGTCTTACCTGGGAGTTCCAGACTCCGGGAGTGAGTGTGCCAGTGAGCAAGGTGCAATTGCATGGCCTTTAAGGACCCCTCCTTGGAAGCCAAAGAGCATCACGCCCACCGCTCTATGCATTGAACCGTTACAGCCAGCCCAGATTAAGGGGAGTGGACAGAGACCCCAACTCTTTTTTAAAAAAAAAAATATTTTTATTGATTTCATAGAGAAAGGGAGAGGGAGAGTGCGAGAGCAACATTAATGATGAGAGAGAATCATTGATCAGCTGCCTCCTGCACGCCCCACACTGGGAATCAAGCCTGCCTGCAACCCGGGCATGTGCCCTGACTGGGAATCGAACCGTGACCTCCTGGTTCATAGGTCGACACTTCTGGGCCACGCTGGCTGGGCTAGGTCCATCTCTAGGGGGCGGAGTGTCAGAGAACGCATGGCTCAGAAGAACTGTTCCGCCAACCCACAGAAAGATAAGCTTAATCAAATGGTTATTGTTTTAAGTCATTAAAATCCTTTGTGGCCATATTTTAACACCGCCTCAGTTTTATAAATAATTATCTATCAAGGTGAAGTATCTGTCCCTGGCTGGAAAGTTGCCAAACCAGTGACCAGAAATATTTATTTTCAACAAATTGCTTCTTTAGATCTGTTAAAATATGTTGGCATAAAAACAAAACATATGCTTCTTATAAAAATACACACATACAGCCCTAGCCAGTTTGGCTCAGTGGATAGAGTGTCGGCCTGCGGATTGAAGGGTCCCGGGTTCAATTCCGGTCAAGGGCACATGCCTGGGTTGTGGGCTCATTCCCCAGTGCGGGGTGTGCAGGAGGCAGCCGATCAATTATTCTTTCTCATCATTGGTGTTTCTCTCTCTCTCTCTCTCTCTCTCCCTCTCCTTTCCTCTCTGAAATCAATAAAAATATATTTAAAAAAATATGCATCTACAGAAAGTGAGAGTTCTCCACCTCAATTATCTACTTATTTATTTATTTTCCAA